AATAATTTTTAATTTTATTTAAAAAATTGTAAATACTTTTCAAAATTCCAGGCAAATTTGCCTGGAAAACAGTTGAAAAGATATCTTTGATAAATTTGTATATCAATTATGAATATATACGTGCATAGTTTTATTTACCAATTCCATTATATTCTTGGTAGTGATAACCTTGTAAGGTAATCATGCACTAAACCAAAGTTAGAATGTGATTACCAAGCCTCTGTTTTTTTGTACCAGGCATTTGTTTGCATTACCTATTATCTGGATTAAGAATTAACAAAATTGTTTTATAATTAAAGTTTAATTTTTAGCCTTCAATCTAGCTATTCTGTAATGTTGCAAAGAACCTCTTTTACAGATACTCAAAAATATGAACTTTGTTTATATGCTCGTGATAACAAGGGAACTCAGTTAGAATATGTAAAATAGGTTAATGATAGATAGGAAGTTAAAATTAGTGAATCTACTATTACTTGAGTTCTTCAATCTAAAAAGAAACAGCTTTCTAATGAAGTAATAAATCCAGAAGCCAAATAGCACAAACTTGTTACTTTTCCAGAACTTGAGCTTGTGCTCAAAGAATTTATATTAATTTACCAAAGTCAGACTATTTTAAGTGATGTCTTGATTATTAAAAAGGCTAAATTACTAGCGAGTGAATTAAAGATTTCTGAGGGTAAGTTACAATTTTCTCAAGGATGGCTTCAAAAATTTAAGGAAAGAAATAGAATTCGTCAAAGAATACTTCATAGTGAAGAAGCATCTGCTGATCAAAATGCTATTATCGAGTCTTTGCTATTACTGCTAGATATATATACAAGATATCCTCTCAACAGAATATATAACATAGATGAGACTGGTCTATTTTATTAGTATTTTTTTTTTACTACAATTTTTTTTTTTTAAAAAAAACAAATTTTCATATATTATAGATTGGAGCCAAATCAAACACTAGCATCATGATGCTCGCAGGGTGTAAAAAGAATAAGGAGCATATTTCTGTAGTATTATGTTCAAATGCTAATGGGTTTTATAAGTTGAATCCTCTTATTATTGGCAAGTATGCCAACTTCCGGTGCTTTAAAAATATAAAAATTAAAAATTTGCCTATAATATATCGAAATAATGCCAAGGCATTGATGCTTTTGGTTCTTTTTCAAGAATGGCTTCCTGATTATAATCTTCAAGTTTTATGAAAGTAAAATGGCCAACACGTACTTTTATTACTTGATTAGTGTAGCAGCTACAAGTTTGATGGCTTAACTCTTAAATGCGTAGATATTCATTTTCCTTCTCTACATACTACTTCAAAACTCCAACCCATGGACGCAGGAATAATTATAACTTTTAAAAAAGCTTACCATCGCTATCATCCTCATAGTTATTTTAATCTATAATTATAATATTATTAATAATTTTGTTATTTGAGTAATGCAAAGCTAAAACCTGCAAATCTTATAAGATTTACAGGTTTTAGCTATGTGACACTCATTTATACTTTATTTCTATTTTTATTTTTATTTTTTACATTAATTTAGATAGTTACTAGACCAAATTGAAGTAAAACATTTGATTTAAGACTTAAAGATAAATATTCTTCAAGCAATTCAATACTTAATTAGAGGGTGGGAAGAAGTCTTTGCTGAAACTATTTGCAATTGCTAGCATTATACAAAAATCCTTCCAGTTGATGCTAGTATTGAAGTTTAGAATCTCTCGAATAACATTCATAGTACCAATGATTCAGAGTTAGATGGACTTATTAATGCATTTAGTTCATATAACCTCCCTAATGCAATGAAGACTAATGAATATCTTACAATTAATAATGAGAACATCATTTATGAAGTCCCTCTAGATGACTAAATTATCAAGGAGCTTGCTTATACATTTAAAAAGGATGAAAGTGTTGATAAAAATATTATTGAAGTAGATAATGAGGATGATAGTATTGAGATTGTAACTGTTAGTGGTAGTTTAGCATTGAATAATTTAGAAAATATTCGCATGTTTTTACTTTAACAAGAGAGCTTAGACGAGCAATTTAAATTAGTTAATTCTTTGAAAAAATTTGTTAAAAGCAAAATCGTAAGTTCAGCTCAACAAACTCATATAAATGAATATTTCAAGTGAAAGGTCATATAGTGTTGATAATAAAATGCAATTGAATATACTTATTAATAAATAATTAATAAAATTAGATTGCTTTTTACAAAAGCGAAGATAGCTTCTACTATCATTTAGAATTAAATAATGAGCAAATAAAGTGATAGGTATTTGCTTAACTTAAATATTTTAACAATATGCAGTACTGCAATTTACTATTATCATAGTTTTCAAAATGGTAGAAATGAGTATAAAAAATAATTTGTCTAGTATACCTGTATACTGTGTATACTCATACTGGATTACCTTAGCATGTTTATTTAAAATCGATGTTTGATTATATATATACATACTTATTGTTTGAAACAATAAGTAAACCAAGCATCAATCTTCAATCAAGGTGTTAAGGTAATTCGATATATAGTATATGGGTATACTCGAAAAAAAATTTTTTCCTATTTTCAACCATTTCGAAAAACGCAATAAAAGAAAGCAAACTGTGTTTAGGTAATTTCAATAAATTATAATTTAATAAATTATACAGTAAGCTTATATAGTATTTACAACTTATATATATGAAGTATGTTTTAGAATATCTTAGCAATTGTTAATAGCTAAAGGCTATTACGTATAACTCTTTGGAACAATCCATCTGTATCATAAGTTGCAAAATTTGTTGGTTCTTAAAACTCAGTAGGATCAAGGTTGTAAACTTTTTTTTTTAAAAAAAAGCCAATATTTATTATAAAGACCCAACGAGCACTTTTCTTTACACACAGAATTTTTTCTAATAAAAATGTAAGTTAGATTAAGTATAAATTGAAGGTGTTATTTAATTAGTATATAGTAATAAAGTTTAATTATTACAGTATAACTATGAAATAATGCACAGAGGCATTATTTTGAAGTTTGGCCTGAATTAATCTTAATTTATGCCGAAAATTGAAATTACACCCCTGTGCGGTTATATGGTATATATAATTTGTATAACATTCTCTAAATTTACACTCTCTATAAATACATATTTATAGCTAGTCCCAAGAGGTGCATATATAGAGGTTTGACTGTAATATATATACATAGTATATATTGTATTATAAATTGAAATTTATATTACCTACAGCTATGAGTTTTTCTACAACTACCAATTCAAATTGGATGAAAATTTTACTAGAAATAGAAATGATACTTGGCTACAATATATTGAAAATTTAGCTAATTTGGATTAGTAGTTCTTGAGAAATTGCTTAAAAATGATAAGTAATTATATTAAAAAATTATTTGTAATTTTTAAGCAATTTTTTAAGAACTATTTATTCAAATTGGCTGAAATTTTAATATTTTGTAGCCCAATATCACTTCTATCTCTATTAAAAATTTCATAATTATTATTATTAAAAAATTTTATATAATGAAATTGGGCAATTTTAATTGGCTAATAATACTATATCATATAGCACCAACAATGCCAAGGCATAGGATTGATTTTACTGTCACGTGATAGTTAGAAAACAAATATTGACAAATCTAAAAAACTTTGGTTATGCCCAGGTTAGAGTTTGGGAGGATTAAAAGAGCAGTTATATAGTAAAATTTTACAAGAAATTTTTTTTTATTAGAGTTTCAAAGATAGTTTACTAGACTAAATTCCGAGATAAATATGTTTTTTGTAAAGCAAACATTTGTTTTGATTTTTTTTATATTATACATAATCCTGAATTTTAATTGGCTGATAGACATGAGAAATCATGTGATAGTAAAATCGATTCTATACCCTGGTGTAGTTATATAGTACCTGATAACCTCTCTGACCCCTCTTTCTAAAAAATCTGGTGATAAATATCCCTACTTTTAAAAAATCAAATATATAAATTAATTAAAAAAAGTATAAAATTGTTATTTTTTAAAAAATAATTAAAATAATTATAAAAAAAGAGATTTAATTTATAGCACTATAGCACTGTAGTGCTAGGGCATTTTAACTAATTAAAATTTAAGATTAAGTATAATATACAGATTAACTTTGTATAACAAAATAAAGAAATTTTTAAAAAAACAATTGTATCTCAAAATTTTGTCTAGAAAACTATCTTTTAAGCTTTAATAAAAAAAATTTCTTGCTAAATTTTACTATAAAAACTACTTAACTCTAACTTTTGACTCTTATTCTTACCCTAATATTAAAAAAAGTTAATTTTTGTTTTGATAAAAGTTGTTTTAATTTATATATTACACCAGTTTGTTTATTATATATAGGCTAGCATTGCAGTTCTATAATAATATTTCCATAAAAATTAATTAATAAAAAATTAATAAAAATTTAAAATATAAAAAATAAAAAAACTTATATAACTTATATAAAATAAAATTAAAAAAAAATGAAACAATAATTTTTTCTTGAAAACCTCAAGGAAAGAAAAGTTAGACTCAATCTAAGAAAATGAATGCCAAACTGCCTAACACCCTAAGTAAATACCTCTTCAATAAGTAATAACAAAAGAAGAAAGAAATGGGTACTGATTAGATTTGGGAATACAGTAAAGGTGGGAAAAATAGTAGAAAAGAGAAAAAATAAAACAGCTATAACAGAATATTGAAAAGCAACTTCTGACTCTTACAAAAACATACTCATACTTACTAAATATAAAGGATATAGCATTGATGAAGCAGAAAGTAGTAAAGCAGACTCTACTTGTACAAAGAGTTGGAAAAGCAATATACTAACAATCAACCCAAGATTTATTTAAAAAATTTACTCTTAGAATAAGAGATGAGAACTTTGCATTTCACTAAGCTGCTTTATAAACCCATATCAGCAAATAAGCTTATCTACAAGTAGAGAAGAGGATACTCAGAAGTAACAAGTTAAAGATATCACAATTTATTCAATAGAGAATGAGGTAATAGATCAAGCCATCAAAAGCATGCAAGTAGTAGAGAAAATTAAAAAAGCAGTAGCCAAGCTAAAATATGAAAAAAAGATTTTCTTTTACACAGATGAGTCTCTACTTAACCCAACAAAGGAGCCAGATAAAAAGAAAATGAGTCTTGGCTGGGTTGCAGTTTCGGGAAAAGAAAATAAAGCCAGTAGACAAGTACTAGCTAACTTTTACAGAGCAATAAAAGATTAGCCATCATCAACAAAAGCTGAACTTGGTGCAATATGGACGGCCTTCCTAGCAGCTCTATGCAAAACCAAAATCAAGATCTGTACTAATAGTGCAGTAGTAATACAGGCAATGCAAGTGAGCCAAAAGAAGGGAAGAGCTTTCAAGATATTAAAAAAAAAAAAACTTTTGTTTATTGGAGCAAATACAGCAAGCTATTGATTTGAAAGAGTTTAAAATCTGTTTTAAAAAAGTTAAAGTACATAGTGGAGTAAAAGAAAATAAGAAAGCAAACAAACTCACAAAAAAAGAGGCTCATAGTACAGAAATAATTAATTCAAGATGGCTGTGAAACAAACATGCAGCAACCGAGTTAAGATAAAAAGACCTAAAAGTAGATAACTCAACATGAAGCTTCATTATATGACTAACAAAGACCACTATTGATACTGAGTAGAAAAATTTAAAAAGCATAATTAAATAGGTTAATGCTAAGCAAGAAACAAAGTATAAAAAGATATAGAGCAAGTATGAGAAAGAAATTGCAGAAGTATAGCTTAAAATAAAGAATGGATCTTCAAGATAAAATGTCTAAATAGTCTGCTTCTGACAATACAAGTTCTAAATATGAGAAAGGCGAAGCTATACTCAGATGATACGTGCAAGATATGCTAGCAAAAAGCTGAAACACAAGATCACTTTGCTGCCTACTCAGAATTCTAGAAAATATGGTGTATCTTAGAAGAAGTAAGCAAACTACTTATAAAAAAGGTGATTAAAGAAAAAGAGAAACTTGAGACCAGGGATATAAAAAAGATACAAAACCTAATTTTCAGCAAGGGTATACAAGAAAGAATCTCGGCAAGAATTGAGCTAATGAAGAGGTTAATTATAGAGCAGAGACAAGAGAATATAAGCATGATCATAAGTAAAGCAAGAAAGGTCAGCAAGTTTGTTCAAGCTATAATTAACCATTTTCAGCACCAGTTTTTTAAGCACTTTTGGAGCCTTTGATGTGAATTAGTAACAGATTGAAAAAAGTGTAATAGCATAACCAAAGAGAAGAAAAAAGAAAAAGCTGAAAAAAGAAAGCCTAGAAGGAATAATGAAGCAGATAAAGAAAATACCAACCCTCAGACCACTGACTACAAGAAAGAAAGGGCAAAAAATAATAATAGTAAAATGAGAAAAGAAAAAATAAAGGTATCGAAGAAAAAGAACAGAATAATTGAAGATTGGGTCTTATAGAACAAAAACCAGCATGGTCCTTGCTAGCTAAGATCTAACAAAAACATTAGGTGTTTCTGACAAGGCATATGATGGCCTACTTATAATCAAGAGAGATATCAGTTATGATACAATATCCTTAGTAAGTTAAGAATCCCAAGAGAGGTAAACAGTTGTTATGGCAGATTATATTGGGTATTTAACCTGGTGAGTTTTTATTGAGTTAGAGCAACAAGTTATAAAGATTTAGTACATTTGTATATAAATTTTATAGCAGTTTATATAAATAAAAGCAGGATCGCTTAAAAAAAAAAATAATAATAATAATAATTTTTTTAAAAAAAATTATATTAATTTGGTTCATTAAACCTAAGATGGCAGGCACAGGGTCCATGGGCATACCCTTGAGGCATGCCCTCCTAGGCATGCCTGGGGCATGCCTTTGAGCTAAAAAGTATACTTCTATTATATAATTGATTATGTGATACTATACTCTTTGATTGGCTATTATAATAAATATAGTTTAGTTTTTCTTATACAAAATTATTAATTTAGTAATACTTTTTTTAATATAATATTTAA